CGTGGGGCGCCGAAGTAAAAGTTATATTACTATTGATTAGATAATACTATTGACTTTTATTAGGGAGCTTGTAGAGAGTCAACAGTATTAGAAACTGTAAGAAAATCACGGCGCCCCACGTTTTTGCTCGCTTATAGTAGAGTGATCGCTTGCATTATTGTGATGTAGGGCCTATAGCATTTATTTTCTACTTTTTAGTTCAATCAGAAAACGTGGGTTTTTTAAAACTTTTTTAATGATTATTATTTTCTACTTTTTAGTCTTTGTCTGTTTGTTTGCATTAAAATCTTGCTATCGATTTTATCTTTTCACTTTTTTTGGGTAAACGAAGACAACTCGTAAAAAGACAACTCGTAAAAAGACAACTCGTAAAAAGACAACTCGTAAAAAGACAACTCGTAAAAAACACGTTGTTTGAATACGTTACTGACTAGAACACATAGATTTGAACCCGTGTCGAGTGGGATAGCAATCGTGTGCCCAACCACTCGACCATATCGTCTCCCCCAAACTGGCCTACCTCCTGTAAGTTTAAACTCGGTTCAAGCTAAATTCTCTGCCCCTAAGCCTGTGGCGACATGTGATCGTTCGCTTCACTGCGCGCGAGGTACGCGTCGCTGGTTTTTTTTCTAATGGCTAGCAGAGGAGAATTATATATATAGATTATATAGCGGTCTAAAATGCTCAATAAAATGTTTCCATTGATCAATTTAGTAATAATAACAATTGAATATTCAATGGTCATCCAAAAGAAAGCTTCCCTGAAAATTTCAGCGCGCTAGCTAACTGGGAAGTGCCAGAAATTTCGATCGCAAGATTTGATTGGAAAGACAAACAAATAAACACACAGAGAAAGCAAGTTAAAGAAAACGTGGGAAATAAGAAATTTTATTCAGAATTTCAATTTTTTTTTTCTTAAAATACAATTTTTATAACCCTATAAATGAGATAAGACTCATTTTCCCCCAATCTGCCGAGTCTTTACTTGTTCGTTACGAAATGTTCTTTACCGGCGTTTATATCGAATTGGCATCGTTGAAAAGCTAGACTTCTCCGGTATTTGTCAATCGTATCTTTCCGTCAATACGGAAACATCCGAAGCTTAACAAACGAGTAAAGACCACCTCGGGGGCCGAAGAACGGAGAACAGGAACTGGGCCTGTCGCCATTTTAGCTTCTACACAACACCGGTCGTGAGTCTCTGACATGTGATAGATTACGACATGTACCAACCACACATGAGAGAAACAGGAATGGGGGTTGAACACCATCTTAAACTACCAGTTAATTCACGAACAATCAGGGTTTAGAGACTAAGAAGAATCGATTCATGGACGGCGCATTCAGGTTTTAAATCCGATACCTATTGCGCAATATCGTTCTATTTTAATCAGGCCTGGGCAGGTTGTCATACTTCGTGGGTGAGAGTGGAATGGAGGGGTGGAGGGGGACAGGGGTGGAGGGGTGGATTAAACAAGGGATAAGACCAGTACGGGGTCAGACCCTAATCAGGGATCGGAATCCAATAGATGGTCAGACTCGTATTTTGGTACCATCCCATTTGAGGATCAGAGTTCTAAATAGAGCTCAACATTTGATTAGTGGTCAAAAACCTGTGATTTGTCTACTTTCAATTCAGGGAGGTCAGGTTTTAATATCCCGTTGAAACTCTAAACCCCATTGGAGATTATTGTTCATTGAATAAAACGTACGAGGCATTACAAAACAACAAATAACCCATAGCTTTATTTATAGGCTCTATTCAGTAAAAACAGAAGGTCAAAAACGGTAACTCGTAAAAGCAGTGTTTTATGTTTTTGGATTTCCCAAATCAATATCCATTAAATTTCTATTTTTATGCCCAGGATATTTTTTTCATGACATCCGATGATGTCATCAAGATGAGAGTATTAGAGATTACCGTGGATTAGCGATACACTGACTTTAAGAATGGATGGAAGGGATTTTTGGTTTAACGGTACAGTAGAGTCGTATGTGGTGGGAGGGAATGCGCCCCCCCCTCCCTCCCTCCCCCCCCCCCCCCAGATGGGGACATTAAGACGAACTGGAAACTATGAGTATTTGAAGAGACGTAACTGTTGTTTTTTAAAAGGGGTTTTGGCATCAGCTTTCGAGACCTTGGGTTATTTTTGGTCATTCTCGAGCCACAAGCACCCAGATTTAGCAATCTCGCATTACTGGGTCAGGTGTGCCTGATCTAGCAGTCAAACTTCACGTTCTCATAGGCGCCCCGAGCAGTTTTTATTTAGAGACAGTTTTGTGATTCTAAATTTCAGGAACAAAATGATACAACACAAGGCAGACATGGTCAAAGGCGAACGGGAGCATGAAAAAAATCACAGAAAATAGAAAAATGGAATTCAATGAACATTTTTTAAACTGGAATATTTGAGCTCTTCGGGTGATATAGAAGTATTATCCCAAGGCCAAAAACAAATGCAAAACAAAATTTTTAAAACTAGAATCTGTTTAAAAAATAGTTGGTCTTAAAATAAATAAAAACAAGTCGAAAATATTAAAAAACTTCTAGGAAAATATTATAAACTTGAATAACACAGGAGCTGTTGAGGTAGGGGTGGGAGAAAGATGGGAGAATTGGAAAAGTTTATAGATCTGTTGAGGTAGGTGGGAGAATTTGAAAAGTTTACAAATCTAGGAAATTGATAAGTACCGAGTCTTCAGAGCAAACATTAGATGTGGTTACAGAAGGCTAAAAGGGACAGCGTGGTATAAGCGGTAGGGCTATAGGCTGCTAACCTGAAAGTCTCGAGTTCGATTCCGGGTCCAAGTCAGTCGATCGTCTCTGAGTCCACCTAGCTATGATGGGCAAAGTGTTGACTACACCTTTCCTTCATATGCCGAGGCCAAGAAAAATAAACTCTACTTCATCTGTCCAATGGATCGATAGGTCTAAAGAGGATTCTTTACTTTTGGGAGCAGGACGTTTCCCCGAAAGACACTTGCCTAAATGCCGTTTGCCCGAAGGCCATTTTCCCGAATGGACACTTGCCCGAATGCGACAAATGCCCGAATGGACACTTACCCGAATGCGACAAATGCCCGAATGGACACTTGCCCGAATGCGACAAATGCCCGAATGGACACTTGCCCGAATGCGACAAATGCCCGAATGGACACTTTCCCGACTTTACTTCTGTATACGGAAGGCAAAATTAGCTTGTGTTACCTCACTTATCATCATAAAGAATTGGCAGAAATAAAAACCAAACTACGAATTTTTAAATTCAACGTAAAATATCTTTAAAAGTACATTGTTCAAAGTTTGTTGTGAACAAAGAGGGGTTGGGACAGTCTAGACTCTTCTACAAACAACCGCCTAAGGCGAGTATTAAATATAAAGTTGTGTGACGACGCACACGACACAACATTAAGGTAAAGGTCAGACAAATCCCAGTGGAGCAACAACAACAAAAAGCATAATTAAAATCTTGTTATTATTTCTTATATAATTTTGTATTTTTTCTTTAATTTATTTTGTTACTTAAAAAAAAATATTATTCTGCTTTCTGCGCTGTAGACTCATACAATGATATTTTTTGTATGTTTTGTTTTATATTCTTTTAAACTTTTATTTTAACCACTGAATTCTGAATCTTGAATTAACAAAAAATATTTCTGCAATTTTTCCCCTAACATCTTCCATTTAATTTTAAGATCGTGTGTTAGGAATTTTATTTTATTTTTCTCATCTGCACTCATGCACGTCCGAACTCGGCTTTGAGACAGTTTTTTCCTGAGTTTAATTTTTTTCCCCAACTTTTTAAATTCCTCTCGCTATTACATGCGACAATCATTCTTTCAAAATGTCTATTCAGCGTTACATTTTTTAAAATTCATTTTTTAAAATTCATCCTCCGTTACGTTCGCCAACGTTTACTGAACTTCCGGATCGTGTGATCGCCGTCAAAACATTTTCTTAAAATAAAAAAAATAAATCTTTTTGCATACACGACTGACTGATTCTAACTTTAAGATCGTGCATTCATTTTTTCCTTTTCCAAATTTTTATTTGACATCTTCCCTCTTTATGCTATGAGGCAATGGGTGGGGAGGAGAGGGGGTGGTTATGGGCGTGTGCGGTGACACCAAAATCAAAAGCTAATTTTATATATATATATATATATATATATATATATATAATTCTCTTCATGGAGACCATAGAAAACACCAAGCTGTAAGCGCGCCTAGCAGCCCCCTCTCTTCCTCTCTAGGCATATCCCTACCACCCCCACCCCCACATGGTCTGATGAGCTGTGGTTCACGCTAAATGTTTACAATCGTAGAGCCGGGTTTAGTGACGGCTATTAGGGGCAGATAATTTAGTTTGAAACTATTTTAAACTTAGGGGAGGTAACTAAGAGGAGGCTGCTTTCACGGGGGGGGGGGGGGGGGGGTGTAGAGTAGGGGTTGGGGAAAGGAAAGGAGGGGGGGGGGGTTATCGTCCTTAACGACCTACTGATAGTGTTTTAAAGCAAAAATTTACAGTGGCAGCATTGGTACCGTTGAATTCACAAATTATGAATTACTGAAAAGTATAAAATAAAACAACTAAATAGCGACGTATAATCAGGGGCGTAGCGAGGGGGGGGGGGCGGGGGGATGCGGAACGCACCGGGTGACACCATTTAGGGGGGTGACACCAAGGCAAAAAATAGCAAAATATATGGAGTAAAAATTGAGGGGGGGGGTGCAAATCGAAAGTTTGAGGAGGGGTGCAAATCGAAAATTTGAAAGTTTGTCCCCGGGAAGGGTCGCTACGCCTCTGGGGGGGGGGGGGGGGTGACACCATTAAGTGCCGCACCGGGTAACACCCGACCTCGCTAAGCCACTGCGTATGATACGCCGCGGGTCGGCTCGTATTTTTTATTTCATAAACTCAATCTACCACTGACATACTCCCATTCTCTTGCGATACACCGAGACACCATTCCTAACACTCTCCGCCATCTTGTTTTCAGGTTATCGTCCAGAGCATCACACTGGCCTTGGCCATCATTGGCAACTCGTGTGTGCTGACGGCCCTGGCCAGGCGAGGTAAGGCGGGGTCAAGGATGCACCTGTTCATCTTTCACCTGAGTATTGCTGATCTGCTGGTGGCTGTGTTTAATACCATGCCCCAGCTGATATGGGATATCACGGGGCCGTTCTACGGCGGGGATCTGCTCTGTCGCTTCGTCATGTTCATGCAGGTAAGTTGAGTGTTCATGTAAGTGTCGCGTTCATGCAGGTAAGTGTCATGTTCATGCAGGTAAGTTTCGTGATCGTGTAAGTAGGTGGCATATTTATGTAGGTAGGTGGTATGTTCTTGTAGGTAGGTGTCATGTTCATGCAGGTGAGTTGAGTGTTCATGTAGGTAAGTTGAGTGATCATGTAAGTGTCATGTTCATGCACGTAAGTTGAGTGTTCTTGTAAGTGTCATGTTCATGTAGGTGTCATGTTCATGTAAGTAAGTAGAGTGTTCTTGTAGGTAAGGGTCATGTTCATGTAGGTAAGTTTCGTGTTCACGTAGGTAAGTCGTGTTCATGTAGGTAAGTTTCGTGTCATGCAGGAAGAAGTCATGTTCATATAGGTAACAGCCTTGTTCATATAGGTAAACTTTACCAAGTCTATACAGGTGAGCATCATGTTCATAAAGGTAAGCATCATGTTCACGTAGGTGAACTACGTCATACTCTTGTTGTAAAGCTTTGTCCTGTTTATGTAGGTAAGTGTCATGTTCATGTTATGTTAATGTAATGCTGTGAATTGTATACTGTTCAGTTCGTCTACCAGTTTGATCCCAAGCAATATGACCTGTAAGACGGAAGAAGAAGAAACTTAAGATTGGGTATTATTTCAATCAACTGTGCATAATGTCGACGTATTGGATTTTTATAATGACCGGGATAACAGCAAAATGCTTTAAAAAAATAAACATGCAATATTAAGTTTATTCTGAATTATTAAATTTCTTAAGCAAGTAGATTTTGATTCCCATATGTTTTTCACCTCTATGATCCAGGTGTACGTCATATACCTGCCCACTATTAAATTTTGATTCCCATTTGTTTTTACAAGCTTTTATTACACTCACTTCCTCTGTCTGTCGTCAGTCTGTCTAGATCGAAACGCCGGAGCGAAAATTCGGACACTTCTAACTGACAGATACAGTTCGTAATTGGTACGTGGGTCAAGACATAAAGACATCGTGACATTCTATTTGACTCAATTAGTCGCCTAATTAATTTTTTATGTATTAATTAAAATTTGTTCATCTCTCTGACCCAGGTGTACGTCATGTACCTGTCTACCAATAGATTTTAATTCCCCTATGTTTTTCACCTCCAGGTGTACGTAATGTACCTGTCCACCTACATGCTCGTCATGACCGCCATCGACAGGTACCGCGCCGTCTGCCACCCCCTCTCCGCCTTCAACGCCTCCTCAAGAACCACCCTCTACTCCATGATCATCACCGCCTACGTCCTCTCAGGCATCTTCAGCCTGCCGCAGATCATCATCTTCAAGTACCAGCAGAACGACAAAGGCGCCTACGACTGTTCGGATAACTTCAGTCCTATGTGGACTCTTCACCTGTACGTCATGATCTTCACCTTCGCCGTGTATTTCGTTCCTCTAGGGATTTTAATCTTTGCCTACATCTCCATCTGCTTCACGATATGGAAGAAGTACAAAACCGCGGAGAACGAACGGAAATTGATGCTTATTAGGTCAGATTCGTCTTTAGCCAATAAAAACATTTACAGCCATCACGTGGCTAACGCGGTCGTCTGCCGGCAGAAGGGGGCCATAGACAGGCGGCCGAATATTATACGGAGGTCAAGGCCGGCACCGGCATCGACGACCCCCAGGTCGCACAGCCTGCGGGGGTTTTCCAGGGCGAAGATGAAGACGGTCAAGCTGACCTTTGTGGTGATCGTGGCCTATATCGTCTGCTGGTCGCCGTTTTTCGTCTCGCAGCTGTGGTGGATGTTTGATGCCGCGCAGGAGGAGAGTGAGTATGGCGGCTATCCTTGCTTCATCTATCCATTTATCCATACGTTTATCCATTTATCCACCCATTTATCCATCCATTTATCCATCCATTTATCCATCCATTTATCCGTCCATCCGTCCATCCATCCATCCATCCATCCGTCCATCCATCCATCCATCCATCCATCCATCCATCCATCCATCCATCCATCCATCCATCCATCCATCCATCCATCCATCCATCCATCCATCCATCCATCCATCCATCCATCCATCCATCCATCCATCCATCCATCCATCCATCCATCCATCCATCCATCCATCCATCCATCCATCCATCCATCCATCCATCCATCCATCCATCCATCCATCCATCCATCCATCCATCCATCCATCCATCCATCCATCCATCCATCCATCCATCCATCCATCCATCCATCCATCCATCCATCCATCCATCCATCCATCCATCCATCCATCCATCCATCCATCCATCCATCCATCCATCCATCCATCCATCCATCCATCCATCTATCCATCCACCCATCCATAAATCCATACGTCCATCCGTCATTCCGTCCATATGTCCATAAGTCAATACGTCCAACGGAAGGTACCTTTGTCCATTCATCAGTCCAACCACCCGGTCCATCCACCCGACTGTCCGTAGATCCGATCCATTCATTAGTCCGACCATCCATCCAAAAAATCCTTACTACATCAACATTGGTTCCGCCATATCATGTTACACGCCAGCTAATAAAAAAATATTTTAAAAAAAATTAACTAAGATGAGAGGAAAATCTATAAAATGATGGGTTGGGGGAGGGGGGGGGAGCTATAGTTAACATTTGCGAACTAGTGAAGAACGATAAAAAAACCTTCGCACTGAAGATTTAAAAAAAAAAAATTTCTTTGTCGTAAATTTTGCTGAGTCGGCGTCTTGAGATTATAAACTAAGTGTACTTATTTTAACCTTCATAAATTGACGACTGTAATTAGGGCACACGGTACGATAATTAATGTTTACAAATATATTTGGAAGGGGCACACGGTTCGGTTCCGTAATTAGTATTTTCAAATATATTTAGAACCAATAAATCTTAGCGATGGTGTTATTATTTTTTCCCTTGACCTTCAAGCACCGGAAAATATTTTGAGAGTTTAACGCTAGATGTTAACAAATAGTTAATCAACTAGGAAGTTATGTTATGATAGTGATTTTTTCAAGATGTCAACAAACAAGTAATAGTGATTTTTTTTCCTTACAAACTGAGTAAGTTCTATTAATTATAATTGACACCAATTTTGAAAGAGATTGGACTAAAAACCTACTCAGGCTTTCTAGTTTTGTAAGGGAATTTGGCGGAAAATAAATGGATCGTGAACTTCCTTTTGCGGTATTGCTTGCCCTAGATCTTTCTAGACGGAGTTCCGGTTGTGGAGAGTCCTGTACATATGTAATAAACCAGCGGAGATCAAAGGGCTCCTGCATTAACCGTACAATATCCTCACTTTCGGCATGGAACACGATGTGTGGTGCCTTGGTGGTCGAGGGTTCAGAGCCGCAACTTGATGATGGGTAATCCAGAGATTAGAACCCTACTTGATATGATAGGGAACAGATAGCGAACTGCCTGCTGAGGTCGCCCTTGATATGATAGGGAATAGCTTGCTGAGGCCGCTACTTGACTTACAGTAGCGCCTGGCTTAAGAATAAACAATCGGTAATTAATGAGCTTGATAAAATAGGGTCTAGAGTTTTTTATATTGTTTCCTTTATACGGTACTGATCACGCATAACATGCACCATATGGCACGTTGGCGCAGATTTCAGCTTGCTTTTCTTTCTGGAGAACTTTTGTAGCGTTTGTCCATGCAAGAACTTCTTCTTCGTTCTTAATTTTTAGTGTTGGGAGGGATCGAGCCTTATCTGCCAGAGGGTTTGAACTCGAGACTTTTTTCGAATTTATCAACCATGAGCTTTTGCCGACTCGACCAAGCCTCCATCACAATTAAGGATACGCGTTAACTGGTTATGCGCCATTGACTCCGATGTCAGCCTACTTTTCTTTTTTGGATTTTTTGAGATACCGAACCCCACTAGTTTTACATGCGCATTCACAGAACCCTTCTTAAAAGTTAAATCATCAGCACTGACAAAATCTGATCGTGAATCAAATGAGTCGGCTGTGTGTCTTGACCTCAGGCGAACCTCTGAGGTTCGATCGAACACAGATTAAGAACCACTAAGTTAGCTAATTAGACTGTGACGTATCTTGTGGTCGAAGTTTTCATGGCGTTATGTGATCTGGTATATGAGTCCGGTGTATGTCTTGACTTCCGCTGAACCCATGGGGTTCGATCGAACCCAGATTATGAACCACTTGTGGTCTAAGTTTTCATGGCGTTATGTAGTCTGGAACTTGTCTCATATGGTCCGGCATTGGCTGCTGGATCTGTGGTCAAGCTGATTGTTGTCCTTCCCGCTGTTGTTGATTCGGGGTGTTCCACCCACACACGCAAACGATACAATTAGTAATTCGATCCTCTCTGTTAGATCGATACCATATTAGCTAGATTTAGAACCAAGGCCAAGGGAAGGGGTTGGGTAACATGGGATTATCCGAACCCGTGGATTAGTTGAGAGGTTTTCAGTGATAATTATGTTTAGGCATGAGGTTTACAGAGATAATTATGTTTAGACATGGTTTGAGAAGTACAGCTTAAGCTTAGTGCAGGGTTGGGTTTAGGGTTTATTTATATTCAACAGTGATATAACCCGCACATTATGATGGGTACGAGGGACAACGTTGATGGTGCCGATAGGATCTGAAATAGTTTTTATAACAACGTAAACTGAGACTATTATACTTGTATGGTTTTCTTGAGATTATTTGAACTAACATGGTTGATACAGATAAGCGATTTTTTTTGGAGGCGCAACTTCCTGTTAAGTACGGACTGGTTCGTGGGGGGGGGGGGGATTACTTTCCGGGAACTTGCAGATTGATTCACGGGGAAAGGGAGCGACTTCTTGGGTAGTTACAGATTACTGCATGAGAAATCGAGAAACTTAAACACAAATTTGCTAATCTAGCTAGAGATATAAAAAAAATATACTTATCTAATTAAAGTTTCCCTTTCCAATCTGACGGTCTATGGGGCAAGTGAAGTAAAGTTCACTTGTTTCTGTGACCTCGGCTTTTAAAGATATAGTGTGGTAAGCACTATACCCAGCCGCCTTTGCTTTCCCTTACGTGAGTTAGGTACCCATCTGAGTTGGGTGGACTAGGGGCGGTTTACTGACTTTAACCCGGATTCGAACTCGAGACTTACGGGTTAGCAGTCCACCTCTCTACCGCTTTACCACTCCGTCCCCTACTTATCTAATTAACGCCCCTTTAAACAATTTACCATTTTCGATTAGGTGTCATCCACCACCCTTACTGTTTTATTTAATTAGATAAAATATTTGACATTACATTTTTTTGTGTGTTCTGGTGTAGCCCCCTAAATGGTGTCACCCCCTAAATGGTGTCACCCCCTAAATGGTGTCACATCCTAAATGTTGTCACCCCCTAAATGGTGTCACCTTCTAAATGGTGTCACCACCTAAACGGTGTCACCCCCTAAATGGTGTCACCTCCTAAATGGTGTCACAACCTAAATGTTGTCACCCCCTAAATGGTGTCACCCCCTAAATGGTGTCACCACCTAAATGGTGTCACCCCCTAAACGGTGTCACCCCCTAAACGGTGTCACCCCCTAAATGGTGCCACCACCTAAATGGTGTCACATCCTAAATGTTGTCACCCCCTAAATGGTGTCAACTTCTAAATGGTGTCACCACCTAAATGGTGTCACCCCCTAAACGGTGTCACCCCCTAAACGGTGTCACCCCCTAAACGGTGTCACCCCCTAAACGGTGTCACCCCCTAAACGGTGTCACCCCCTAAACGGTGTCACCCCCTAAATGGTGCCACCACCTAAATGGTGTCACCCGGTACTCACGCCAATGCCTTGTGACGCTACTCTACTGCTACTGTACACACTTTAAGAAAAGTGAAATAAGATTTTTGTATGATTTTGAGAGGGGAAGGAAAATTCAAGACATGTGATGTAGCATATTTAAATCTGGTGTCATCCTTTTTTTTCCTATTCGGATTTTGCTTCCATAACCTTTGTCCAACCAAGAACAAACTACAAGGCAGCAGTGTGGAAGTTCTCTCCCCTAGAAGAGTTGCTGTCCCTAGTTAACGAGCCTCATCTGCCCGAGATTCGAACTCGGGATTTTCCGATGTAGCCACCATGAGTTTTACCGACCCGACCACGAAGAACCCCTTCTATCCTGGTGACGTTTTAAGTGTGGTTTGTTGTTCTTGTCAAGACGTGTGTCTTTATAGGTGGAGGATAGGCTAAAATACCTTGACGTTACATAAGGATAACCCCCCCCCCCCCTTATCTATGTTAACAGCCTTTTCCTGCATTTACATTTTTCCTCTCCATTTTCTGTTAATTAAAAAATGTTGATCCGTTTTAAATCATTTTTATGTTCTGTTTGTGTTAACGGAAATCTCATTATCTCCCTGCAGGGCGCATGTGTTTCTCGGTGTTGCGCAACTTTTCCCGTTTGTGCTCAAGATACATCGACGGGTGAAGTAGAGTTCATCTGTTTCAATGACCTCAGCATGGAAGGGGGGTAGTGTGGTCAGCACTATGACCAGCGGCTTTTGTCTTTCCTACCGTGAGTTAGGTACCCATCACAGCTGGGTGGACTAAGTGACCTTCAGCTGGTTTGAACCCGGATTTGAACTCGAAACTTCCGTGTTAGTAGTCTAGCTCTCTATTGCTAGGCCACGCCGCCCCATTTTAGATTACAGGACTAAATCATTTTGCACTATGTGTCTTGGTGGAAACGCTCAAATTTACATCATTTGAATTATAGCAAGCTTTTTAACGTTTTTGTATGATTATTTCTTCCGTTTCTGATTTTTTATGCGTTCGAGTTTTCCCCCA